GCACAGGCAAGACAACTCTATACATTTCATAAATCAATAGCCTCATCTAGTAGTTAGAATAAAACACACACTAATTTACAATTACAAATTTTGCCCTTATAACATATAAAGTAATGCCACACCTCAGCATCAATTTACGTTAAATAATCAATGCACGTGACCTAAGCCAACTGAAGGCATTATTGTCTGGTACACAGCATCCCACAGTTTATCTTTTTAGAATAGAAAGACCTCATAGCTCTGCTTTAATTTGAGTAAAGTAACACACACACAAGTGCATCTTCCAGAGGTGAAAATTCATGTTGAACACTCACCAGGTTCTTAATGTCAAAGTTACACTGGTTAACTTCCCTGAATGACGGTTGCCAAGCAACAAGATCTCAAAGATGTTACTGTTTCGGATTTTGTTCACCTAAAACAAACACTGGCCACACAAGTCAGATATCATCATCTATGGTTTGCAGATAGTCGAGAATGTTGTGATGCGTGTGAACTCATTGAACAGACATGCCGACAGCACTTGGTATGACAGGAAATGTTTATTTTGTCAAGCAATTTGGAAAATTATGATATGAGTTATACACAGTGGTTGAGTCAGGCTTTTACATTTTCATCAGAACCTCCCCTCACAAAAAAGGCTTCAAGGAGTGTCTTCATTTAGTAAACAGGCTTAACAACCACATTGTACTGCACTGGAAACACTCATATCACATTTTTAATAGAGCTGCACAAGATAACCAAACAGATGTGTGACTGCTGATACATACTTCTGGCCAAACCTGTTAATCTTTTCAGTTAGCCTGATTGTTTATCTACTTGACCTTCTGGAGCAGATCTTTAATATCTGCCTCGATATCAATGGTAAGGAAATTTCTGCTGTAGCGCTTGTAAGGCTCTCCATCTGGGCCAATCAGGAACTTCTCAAAGTTCCAGGAAACATCGTTCCTACTCACTGGACTCCAGATGATGAACTTTGGATCACTCATGAGAGCCATTGTATCGTCGCTGGGAAATGGCAGGCTGTTCTTCAGATAGACAAACAAGGGGTGCGCATCCTTCCCATTCACATCCACCTTCTCGAGGAGCTGGAACTTTGGTTCAAAGCCATTCCCAGGACGGACATACTTCAGACATCTTAGGATTTCTTCATTCTTGCAGTTCTCCTGTTATAAAAAGAAAAATATTGACCAACCGAAGAGCCGATTAACAGTGTGACGTTGAGCTTCTAGACGATTTCATTCAAATTTTTAGGCCGCAGGTGCATTCAATTTTGAATAACTTTTGTTTTACTTTAGAGTATAGAGTATTTCCATTTGATGTGACATGTACTCCACTTAAGATAGTTACTGTAAATCTCAAAATTAGATTTCTGAGTGCTGAAACCATCAAATAATTATAAAGGCAAATGAATAGAATACT